TAAGCTACGCCTAGCCCATGATCAATGGGAATTACCATGGATAAACATAATGCAATGTATAATGCAGAAAAGGCGATTTAGGGGCGACGACATGAATAAATATAACACAGCACAAAAAGGGTGAGCAAAATAGTATAAAGAAACGTAACGCAAGTCTCCCGGTGGGACAGCGGTAATTCGTCGGATTTACAACGCTAAAATCAGGAGTTCGATTTCCCTCGGTTGTCACAAAAAATATCCCGATGTGGCTTTGCTATGATAAAACACACACAACATAACACAAACATGGAGTGTAAAGAAGGTCATGCGTAAATCGAGCACAAGAAATACCTTGTCATCTTCTGCTTCTTCATTTGGAACAATGGTTTTTAGGACATTGACGAACTTTGAAAGATGTTCAAAATGTTTAGTCATCTCTGTAGCTAGAACCATGTCAATGATGGACTCTCGAACAACCTGGTACATATCTCTATCCAAATTTTGTAGGATATTGACATTTTTGTCCGATAAGGTCAGTTTGAACGCTCGTGCTGCATGATAGCTTTCCAAAACAGACCTATAGATAACACAAGAAAGCTGTATAACTTATATGAACCTGTATAATGAGTGCTTATACTAAAAACTAACGAAAATTTCAAATGTAACGCATTTATTTCACGATCCTGTATTTTAGTTTTTAAGATGTATATATCTTTCAATGTGTCGGCATATATAACTTGATGACGAGGAACCCATTTTTTTTTTAGAAAATAAAGTTTGGAGACGGCTTGAATGAGTAGTGAAGAAAACTTTATTACAAATATACAACGTTTCGACAAGCTTATGGCATCATGAAAATTTCTTTCACTGCCTGTTCAGGCATACATAATTTGTCGATCGACTGATTCAAAAAAAATTTTATTTACAAAATCCAATACACCCGCAGCAGATAAACATGATTCGAACAGCGAATCACAGACCTCGTGATCTTTTGAATAATAATAATAATAATAATAAAAAAACAGTTGGAGGTTTTCTAAGAAGATTTATCTTGGGTTATCAATAAATCACGAAAGGGTTAACTTAAAATTCTACTTTTGTTAATAATAAAACGCAACCAAAATTGATATTGTAAGAAACAAACATGAGATTGGAATGAGAAAGCGCCAGTTTCTTTATTTTTCGTGTCATAAATGCACAAAACATAGGTAATTAGAGTAGATACAATTATAAGGAAATCATTGTCTACCGTATTTAATGTCTGCGTTTGCGATGTTTGAAAACCTTAGTACTTGTTAGAAAATTTATAAAGCAGCTTAACTTTACTGTATTCTGTAACATTTCAGAAATTGCAAATAAAAATTATGAATAGGTTATAATTTGCAATAATTGTAACAACATCAACATGAACTTTGCTTGAGATCGTTAATATTACATATATCACATTATATCCCGATATTTAATAAGAATCATAAAACTGATCCGGAATACTGTTTATGATGTACTTATTGCAAATGATAACCTTTCGTATGATGACTGTTATTAAGTAGATCCACATTACATTTTGTTGTTAACATTTGAATGTATGTACCAGTCATATAACAGTATTTTCCAGTAAGTGGAAGAAAACCAAAGTCACGAGTAATTTGATCTAACGTGGAAGCCTCGCCATGATTGGGTGAAAGAAATGTCTGAGAACTTACAAGTCATTGTAGAGAATCGCTAATTCATCCTTCGTATTACACAAAAAAGCGCTATTCTTTCCGGGATGGTTGACGTCATGGACGACGGCAGCAATCAAAGAAATCACTTCATCTAGAGGATCGAATATCGTCTACAAGACAGGGTATTAATTATACATCCAATCAGTATGACGCGTGGTCGAATAACATACGGAATTAAAGTTACATCAAGTACATTTCTCTTACAGTCGAGTATCGTCTAGAATACAAGGTGTTCGTTATATATTCAGTGATATGACACGTGGTCGAATACAACACGGTGTTAAAGTTACATAAATTTAGGATAATCATATCAACAGCTGATTAAACTAAGCTATATCTATGTAGATCAAAACTAATAATGAATGTGATATAGCTAATTAAATATAATTATAAATATTAGAATGTATTATTCATCATTTGGGTAGCTTTATTGTTAACGATATTTTTGGCCTTAAACCCAATAATATCTCACGAGTTTAGATTGGTTAGTCCTAGATTCATATACTAAAGTAACAAAGTAAAAGTATAATATAATAAAAACATATATATTAAGTGTTCTAATCCATACTTTAATGAGACTATAGACTACAAAGTGTTAATTTTACATGCAACAAGTTCCACACAAACATATTTCTACTAAATATAGTTTTAAATTTATCTTAGAGTAAATCACCTACGTTCAAATTTCGTCTATATTTGGCTTCAATCTGAGGAATGATTCAAAATTAAGAATAACACACAATAAAGTAGACGTGTAAATAAGAATATTAAAGGTTAGCTGATTATTTGTGGGTTACTTTCTATATTTTATTTGCATCGTATTTTAACTGGAGGCATCTGCAAGAAGAAAACAGGTGTTCCAAGTTAATCTAATAAAACCATTACATGCTTGTTTGTTTGTTGTAAAGTACAAAGCTACACAATTGGCTATCTGTCCACCACGGGCATCAAAACCCGATTTTTCGCATTATAAGCCTACTGACGTACCGCTGAGCCATCGAGGAACAAAATCAAATGAAATAAAAAATGAAATATTTGTGAAACCGTTTTATTGTAAGATCAAATACATTTCATAGATCTAACACAAATTGGAAGAAATTATAGTAAATTTATTCTTAATTTTTATCTTACAGTATTAGTTAAAGCTGGGTTGTCCAACTAACTGCTACTTGGCTAAAGCTCAAAATAAATAAATGGATAATGAACCTAAAAATACAACTTATTTTGAGTGTATTTGAATTTGAGAATTATTTGCTCAATGTTTGTTACCTATTACTATATTACTCTGGTATTTAATACGAATAAACTTGAATAAAGCCATGATTCTTTTTTTTTTTTCTAGCCATGGCATAGCGACTCATAGAATGGCTTCGAGTTTTTAGTTTATTTCCAAGTACAAAGTTTTAGCTCATAGCTCCGTCATCTCTTGAACGATTTGAGATCTAATTACAGGTTTAAACTCAGGAGGTCAAACCTTTTTGATTGATACATTTGATCACGCTCAAGGTTTCATACATTAATATACTCTAATGTTGCCTGAAAGAATTTCAGTTTAAGGGTAGACTACTAGAGGTCCAGATGAGTAATAAAATCGAATCGGGTATACGCGCGCCCCATGCTTGGTATTGATGGCGCACAAAAATACAGCTGATAAAAATGAAGAAAAGGACTGATAAATCAATTTACTCTAATCCCGTCTTAAAGAATTTCAACTGTCGCGACTATTGAGGAGTCCCTCTTGTTTCCCATCGACTACTTGAGTCCGCCTTCTCAGGCCACACTCACTGTCTCTACATTATTGAACGACTTTCTTAATTGAATGGAATAAGAACCACAGTAGATAAATATTTGCGTTTTTTCGGCAGGTGAGAGACACATGTCAGATTTTCAGATTTTTGGACAGAATTGTCACCGGTGATGAAAAACGGATTCTCTATGCGAATAATAAACGCCGAAAACAATGGCTCAGTCCTAGATAAGAACCACTTCTGACCCCCAAACCTGGACTACATCCGCAGGAAGTGATACTTTGAATTTGGTAAGACATCAAAGGAGTAATTCATTTCGAACTCCTCAATCCACAGCGAACTCTCAATGCAGAGATATATAGTCAGCAACCGGAATACTTAAATCAAGCCCGTCATCAGAAACGCCTTTCATTCGTCAATCGGAAAGGTGTTCTTCTTCCACGACAATGCACGTCCATATGTGGCACGTTTGACGCAACAAAAGATTATGGAGTTAGATTGGGAAGTTCTCCCCCACCCACCATCTTTTCCATTCGCTACAACCCCATCTTAGTGAGAAAACGTATGCAAAATGTGGGAGGTGTTAAAGAGGACATCGACATTGCTTCAAAGCCAAGTGATTTCTTTAATCAGGGCATTAACAACCTGATTGTAAG